GTGGGCTGGATGTTTGTGTTTCTATTTTCTCTGGGCACGATGTTTGTGTTTCTATTTTCTTTTGGCTGGATGTTTGTGTTTCTATTTTCTCTGGGCACGATGTTTGTGTTTCTATTTTCTCTGGGCACGATGTTTGTGTTTCTATTTTCTCTGGGCACGATGTTTGTGTTTCTATTTTCTCTTGGCTGGATGTTTGTATTTCTATTTTCTCTGGGCTGGGTGTTTGTATTTCTATTTTCTCTGGGCTGGGTGTGTATTTCTATTTTCTCTGGGCACGATGTTTGTGTTTCTATTTTCTCTGGGCACGATGTTTGTGTTTCTATTTTCTCTAGGCACGATGTTTGTGTTTCTATTTTCTCTTGGCTGGATGTTTGTGTTTCTATTTTCTCTGGGCACGATGTTTGTGTTTCTATTTTCTCTGGGCTGGGTGTCAGTATTTCTATTTTCTTTTGGCTGGATGTTTGTATTTCGAAATTCCCGAGGCCGGATGTTTGTGTTTCTGTTTTCTCTGGGCACGATGTTTGTGTTTCTATTTTCTCTGGGCTGGATGTTTGTGTTTCTATTTTCTCTGGGCACGATATTTGTGTTTCTATTTCCTCTGGGCACGATGTTTGTGTTTCTATTTTCTCTGGGCACGATGTTTGTGTTTCTATTTTCTCTTTGCTGGATGTTTGTGTTTCTATTTTCTCTGGGCACGATGTTTGTGTTTCTATTTTCTCTGGGCACGATGTTTGTGTTTCTATTTTCTCTGGGCACGATATTTGTGTTTCTATTTTCTCTGGGCTGGATGTTTGTATTTCTATTTTCTCTGGGCACGATGTTTGTGTTTCTATTTTCTCTGGGCACGATGTTTGTGTTTCTATTTTCTCTGGGCACGATGTTTGTGTTTCTATTTTCTCTGGGCACGATGTTTGTGTTTCTATTTTCTCTGGGCTGGATGTTTGTGTTTCTATTTTCTCTGGGCTGGATGTTTGTGTTTCTATTTTCTCTGGGCTGGGTGTCAGTATTTCTATTTTGTTTTGGCTGGATGTTTGTATTTCGAAATTCCCGAGGCCGGATGTTTGTGTTTCTATTTTCTCTGGGCACGATGTTTGTGTTTCTATTTTCTCTGGGCTGGATGTTTGTGTTTCTATTTTCTCTGGGCACGATGTTTGTGTTTCTATTTTCTCTGGGCTGGATGTTTGTTTTTCTATTTTCTGTGGGCTGGATGTTTGTGTTTCTATTTTCTCTTGGTTGGATGTTTGTGTTTCTATTTTCTATTGGCACGATGCTTGTGTTTCTAATTTCTCTGGGCACGATGTTTGTGTTTCTATTTTCTCTGGGCTGGGTGTCAGTATTTCTATTTTCTCTTGGCTGGATGTTTGTGTTTCTATTTCATCTTGGTTTGATGTTTGTAAGCGTCAGCTAATTCATTGCCAAAATATTTTGTCTAAATTAAACTTAATATCCATGATGAAGTCAAAGCCTTTCCTTTTAAACCAATGCTAGCTTTTCTTTACCGTATTCGTTATCAAAAACTGTTTATCCAGTTTTTACATTTGTCATGATGTGATATTCAGACATGGAGGAAAAAACAGCTTGTGCTAATTGAGGCAACACCAATTTATCGGCACAATGGTGTGTAGACGGTAATAGACTTAATGCATACTAGCATAGACAGGGGTAAGTAAGACGTGTCTGATTTCTTTAACTAATAATAGCAAATTAAGGATTACTTATATACGAAGTCTATGCTAATTTTTAGGATAGGAGTGTTTTGGGGTCTGCACGTCTTCAAGTTCTTATGTTATATACAGAAATTGACATTTGATTTTTCTCGTGCCTGCAAAAGATCAAGTTATGTGATTTGGAAGACAAGTGTTGGAAATATGTCATATGAAAATCTTCCCATGTTTACACCTTCTTTTGGAATTTCCTTTCAAGACAATATGTGTGTGTGATGGTGCGGACCTCCAGGGAAAATTGTCTTTAATGATTCATTCGTCTGTGTTTCATGTCATTAAATTCAACACATAAGACTATCCACATCAAAGTCCGAACTCGTTTAAATATTAATGACTCATTCCGATTAATGCGAAAGTGTTCTATTCTCATGCTAGCAAATGTTCAAGGTAATTGGAACATATAGAATACCTGACAAGCTTGTTTCCTTTAGAACCGTCCGTCCACAGGATGTCTCCCTATTGACATCGACTTTTATCGTGTACGAATTTTCAAAAGGCCATACAAGTTAATAGCACCATCTTCAATTGTAGATTGCGAAATGATTGTTAACATGGCAATGACAAATATTTGTAAAAGCTTCACACAAAGCTTGTTTCAAGAAAATATGTGTATAAATACGACTCTCGGCGGGAGTTTACAGAACTCCAGGGAAATTTGTCTTTAATTATTATTGTTTTCGTCGATGCTTCTATGTCAATAAATTCAACACACAACACTAACAACATCAAAGTTCGAAATCGTTTAAATATTGATGACTCATTCCGATTAAAATTAAAATGTCTAATTCCTTTCATAGCAGATGTTCAAGGTAATTGGAACATATATAATGCCTAACAAGCCAGTTTCCTTTAGAACCGTCCGTCCACAGGATGTCTCCCTATTGACATGGACTTTAATCATGTTCGGATTTTCAAAAGCACACACAAGTTAACAGCAACATCTTCATTATAGATTGCGAAATGATTGTTAACATGACAATAACAAATATTTGTAAAAGCTTCACACAAAGCTGTCCCGTAGGCGTAGACCAATCCATTATTACCAAGAAGTCGCTAAAAAGGTCGCTGATACAGAGCAAAAACCCGCATCGTGAAACTGGAATAATATTTATACATCGACCTTAGGGTAATCATCGAATATTGGAAGAGTCGTAACGATTCTCATTTGTGTTTGACGTCACACTATTTCCTTGGCAGGATATCCTGGGAAAATTAAACCATTATGGATTTGTCATTAATGGTCAATTCCAGGCCATCAAAGACGATTTATTCTTACGTCATCTACACATTAGTATTTTAAAAGCATTTGTTTGTTCAAAAATATTAACAGACCTCAATGACGACTCCAACGCATATAAATATTTTAGCTTCATATGAATAGTAAAGGGACGGTGAACGATTTATGTTTGCATACCTCGATGGTATGAAGCCATCGAATATGTGAATGTGGTCATAATCCAATTCAATGCAACCTTTTAGCGATGGTGTTTATAATTGTTATACTTATATAAATATATTATAAATTTCAGATCGTCCATCCTTTCATATGTTTTGAACAAGATCCCTACATAGCAATTCATCATATACTAGTACTTAATAACATGTGCAGTCACCGGAAACCTTTATCTTCTGCATCCTGTTGATGTGGATCAAACTACTGATCTACTTCAACCCTTTTGACTTTGCTTATTTTGAGAATGGAATTAGGTCATGTTTCTTGTTTCAACTTGAATCGACGCCGATGCTGTAAATGACAATACAATGATCTTTGTCATAACATACTTTGTATTTAAAAATAAAAATCGACATATGAACAAAAGAAATAGTTACATGGAGACCCATGCGTTGTTCGTATTTACAATTCAGCTTCATGAATGCGATTCTTCCTTGTAGAAAGTATAGGCGTTACCTTTCCTTAGAATTGTGTTTTTTGTATTTTACTAAATTACATTACAATATTTTTCGTGTTGCCAATACAAAGCTATTTTCCATTCTTCCTAGTGATAAAATGTCTGTCCCAATGTTCTGCCACCTCACTTACCACTTTGGTTCTACACGAGGAGGTAAAGTCATGGAGCGAAGCAAGACAAATTTGTAATCAGGACGGTGGAAAACTGATGTCAATTCAAGACCCCGACAAGTTAGCCGACCTCCTGCACATGGACTCTCTACCATCATGGAACAATCGCGTGTAAGTATATACGTGTTAAAATGTCAATATAGGATACTTCAAGACTTCCGTTTCATACAAAATCGACGGAACGATTCTAAAGATTTCTTGCACATTTGGTCCGAAGACCTAAGTGAGCTGAAGGGATACCGCATCGTCCATCGTCCAGCGTCTGTTAACTTTTTCTATAGATCATTACTAGGCTTGAAAGCCTGAGCGGATTATAACCAAATTTGGTCTGAAGCATTCTTAGAGGAAGAGGAATTGATTTTGTATATGTGTTGGGTCTGGGCCCCCTTGGGGTTTGAGAAGCTGGGCTACATGATTTTTTTTCAAGATCTATCTTGTTCTTCAGGAATTTCAGGGTATTGTTCAGTCTGGGCTGAAGAATGCCTGAATGAAGAGAAGTCAGTTTTATATTAAAAATGGATGTATGCCTCCTGAAATGAGAGTGGCTGGGATCAATAGGAAAACATGGCAAATTCCTGACCAAAATGCCTGGATTATGTTTCAGTTTGTCCTGAACTAAGTTTGAGTGAAGGGGTTAAGTTTGTATAAACATTGCCCCCCCCCCTCCACCTCCCCCCTAGGACTAAAGGGTGTCGGGTCCCATTAATGGAAGAAGAGCACATTCTTTAAAATCCTTTTCTGTTGGAAATTTAGTAATGTACGAAAAGTGCATCTAATACCCTTTGAGAGGAGGGTCAAGAAAAAAGATAAAAGTCTTCCAAATACTTTTCCTTTTCTAAATCCTCTGAGCGCCTTTATCCCTGGCCTTCCATTTCTGAGTCGAGAGTTCGAGGTTACACAGGGCAGTCACCAGGCCTTCGGTGGTATACTTCTGTATGATTGTACAATTAGATCGGCTATAGTTCCACACTATTAAAAGGATTATCCTAACATATCACAACCTCTCACAAACTCCTGATCTGAATACATGCACACTCAACTAATCAGGTTTTAAATGATAGAATAACAACCTACAACGAACGTTCCTTAATTTGAGATAAATAAACCTGATTGTAAAATATACTTTCGATCACACTGTTTTGTGTACAGCGATGAAAACATCATCAACAACCATTGGCAACCTCCGTTGTTTCAGAATGACTTCCGAATTGTGGTTTGGTTTGCACACGGATGTAGGAGCATCGTGTGACATGGTACAATATCAGTGGGATGATGGAGAACCATTAGGGAGCTGGTCAGACTGGTATGTTGGGTCATATACGGAGCCTAACTCGTGTTCTTCTGACCTCTGTATACGCATATCGTCATCAAAATGGAAGACTATAAGCTGTAGTAACCAGTATGGATTTGTCTGCGAATATCTTGGAGGTATATCAATAATATTGTATCATCCCGATACAGTTTTGATAAGTTTTTCATTTCAAGAGCGAGAAAACCTGTCATTCAAGTTCATGAAAAAATGATGATACAGGTAGTTTGAAAAAAAATGAAGTAAACCAACTATATCAACCAGATACTGCCAACCATCAGGGTTATGTTTGTTTTATGAATCAAATATTCAAATTAGTGCTATTCATTCAAGTAAGACACATGCTTATCTATAGCATTTGTAATGAGATTATAGATAATTGATGCAATCGCTACACGTCAGGCGAAATACGAAAACAATATCGATGAGGAAGGAATAAAATACTATGTTGATACTTATCAAAAGTGATAATTCGTTGTTTATGAGAAATTCGGGTTATTACCGATCGCCTTTATCAAAAATATTGTACCTTCATATAAAACCACGAGTCAGAACTACTGCTAGATACATTTTCTTCACTTTAATTACATGTACACTTTCTTATGAAATCAACTACATTTAGCCTTCTCCTGACATCACCTACATCTAGCCTTCTCGTGACATCACCTACATTTAGCCTTCTCCTGACATCACCTACATCTAGCCTTCTCGTGACATCACCTACATCTAGCCTTCTCCTGACATCACCTACATCTAGCCTTCTCGTGACATCACCTACATTTAGCCTTCTCCTGACATCACCTACATCTGGCCTTCTCCTGACATCACCTACACCTAGCCTTCTCGTGACATCACCTACATTTAGCCTTCTCCTGACATCACCTACATCTAGCCTTCTCGTGACATCACCTACATCTAGCCTTCTCTTGACATCACCTACATCTGGCCTTCTCCTGACATCACCTACATCTGGCCTTCTCGTGACATCACCTACATTTAGCCTTCTCCTGACATCACCTACATCTAGCCTTCTCCTGACATCACCTACATTTAGCCTTCTCTTGACATCACCTACATCTAGCCTTCTCGTGACATCACCTACATCTAGCCTTCTCCTGACATCACCTACATCTAGCCTTCTCCTGACATCACCTACATCTAGCTTTCTCGTGACATCACGTACATTCAGCCTTCTCTTGACATCACCTACATCTAGCCTTCTCGTGACATCACCTAAATATAGCCTTCTCTTGACATCACCTACATCTAGCCTTCTCGTGACATCACCTACATCTAGCCTTCTCCTGACATCACCTACATCTAGCCTTCTCCTGACATCACCTACATCTAGCTTTCTCGTGACATCACGTACATTCAGCCTTCTCTTGACATCACCTACATCTAGCCTTCTCGTGACATCACCTAAATATAGCCTTCTCTTGACATCACCTACATCTAGCCTTCTTTTGACATCACCTACATCTAGCCTTCTCATGACATCACCTACATCTAGCCTTCTCCTGACATCACCTACATTTAGCCTTCTCCTGACATCACCTACATCTAGCCTTCTCCTGACATCACCTACATATAGCCTTCTCGTGACATCACCTACATTTAGCCTTCTCCTGACATCACCTACATCTAGCCTTCTCGTGACATCATCTACATATAGCCTTCTCGTGACATCACGTACATTCAGCCTTCTCTTGACATCACCTACATCTAGCCTTCTCTTGACATCACCTACATCTAGCCTTCTCGTGACATCACCTACATCTAGCCTTCTCCTGACATCACCTACATCTAGCCTTCTCCTGACATCACCTACATCTAGCCTTCTCCTGACATCACCTACATCTAGCCTTCTCGTGACATCACCTACATTTAGCCTTCTCTTGACATCACCTACATCTAGCCTTCTCGTGACATCACCTAAATATAGCCTGACATCACCTACATTTAGCCTTCTCCTGACATCACCTACATCTGGCCTTCTCCTGACATCACCTACATCTAGCCTTCTCGTGACATCACCTACATCTAGCCTTCTCCTGACATCACCTACATCTAGCCTTCTCTTGACATCACCTACATCTAGCCTTCTCCTGACATCACCTACATTCTCCTGACATCACCTACATCTGGCCTTCTCGTGACATCACCTACATTTAGCCTTCTCCTGACATCACCTACATCTAGCCTTCTCCTGACATCACCTACATCTAGCCTTCTCGTGACATCACCTACATTTAGCCTTCTCTTGACATCACGTACATTTAGCCTTCTCTTGACATCACCTACATCTAGCCTTCTCGTGACATCACCTACATCTAGCCTTCTCCTGACATCACCTACATTTAGCCTTCTCTTGACATCACCTACATCTAGCCTTCTCGTGACATCACCTACATCAGCCTTCTCTTGACATCACCCTTCTCTTGACATCACCTACATCTAGCCTTCTCTTGACATCACCTACATCTAGCCTTCTCTTGACATCACCTACATCTAGCCTTCTCGTGACATCACCTACATCTAGCCTTCTCTTGACATCACCTACATCTAGCCTTCTCGTGACATCACCTACATCTAGCCTTCTCTTGACATCACCTACATCTAGCCTTCTCATGACATCACCTACATCTAGCCTTCTCCTGACATCACCTACATCACCTACATCTAGCCTTCTCGTGACATCACCTACATCTAGCCTTCTCCTGACATCACCTACATCTAGCCTTCTCGTGACATCACCTAAATATAGCCTTCTCTTGACATCACCTTTATCTAGCCTTCTCTTGACATCACCTACATCTAGCCTTCTCGTGACATCACCTACATCTAGCCTTCTCCTGACATCACCTACATCTAGCCTTCTCGTGACATCACCTACATCTAGCCTTCTCCTGACATCACCTACATCTAGCCTTCTCGTGACATCACCTAAATATAGCCTTCTCTTGACATCACCTACATCTAGCCTTCTCTTGACATCACCTACATCTAGCCTTCTCGTGACATCACCTACATCTAGCCTTCTCGTGACATCACCTACATCTAGCCTTCTCGTGACATCACCTACATCTAGCCTTCTCGTGACATCATACATCTAGCCTTCTGACATCACCTACATCTAGCCTTCTCATCTAGCCTTCTCGTGACATCACATGACATCACCTACATCTAGCCTTCTCTTGACATCACCTACATCTAGCCTTCTCCTCTCCTGACATCACCTACATCTAGCCTTCTCGTGACATCACCTACATCTAGCCTTCTCTTGACATCACCTACATCTAGCCTTCTCTTGACATCACCTACATCTAGCCTTCTCCTGACATCACCTACATCTAGCCCTCTCGTGACATCACCTACATCTAGCCTTCTCTTGACATCACCTACATCTAGCCTTCTCTTGACATCACCTACATCTAGCCTTCTCGTGACATCACCTACATCTGGCCTTCTCCTGACATCACCTACATCTAGCCTTCTCGTGACATCACCTACATCTAGCCTTCTCCTGACATCACCTACATCTAGCCCTCTCGTGACATCACCTACATCTAGCCTTCTCTTGACATCACCTACATCTAGCCTTCTCTTGACATCACCTACATCTAGCCTTCTCTTGCCTTCTCTTGACATCACCTACATCTAGCCTTCTCTTGACATCACCTACATTTAGCCTTCTCTTGACATCACCTACATCTAGCCTTCTCGTGACATCACCTACATCTAGCCTTCTCCTGACATCACCTACATCTAGCCTTCTCCTGACATCACCTACATCTAGCCTTCTCGTGACATCACGTACATTCAGCCTTCTCTTGACATCACCTACATCTAGCCTTCTCGTGACATCAGCTACATCTAGCCCTCTCGTGACATCACGTACATTCAGCCTTCTCTTGACATCACCTACATCTAGCCTTCTCTTGACATCACCTACATCTAGCCTTCTCGTGACATCACCTACATCTAGCCTTCTCGTGACATCACCTACATCTAGCCTTCTCCTGACATCACCTACATTTAGCCTTCTCCTGACATCACCTACATCTAGCCTTCTCGTGACATCACCTACATCTAGCCTTCTCGTGACATCACCAACATCTAGCCTTCTCCTGACATCACCTACATTTAGCCTTCTCTTGACATCACCTACATCTAGCCTTCTCTTGACATCACCTACATTTAGCCTTCTCTTGACATCACCTACATCTAGCCTTCTCGTGACATCACCTACATTTAGCCTTCTCGTGACATCACCTACATCTAGCCTTCTCGTGACATCACCTACATCTAGCCTTCTCTTGACATCACCTACATCTAGCCTTCTCCTGACATCACCTACATCTAGCCTTCTGTTGACATCACCTACATCTAGCCTTCTCCTGACATCACCTACATCTAGCCTTCTCCTGACATCACCTACATCTAGCCTTCTCTTGACATCACCTAAATATAGCCTTTATCTTAACGTCATCTAAACCTAAACTTTAAACTTTACCTGGTTTTTGCTTTACTTTTGTTAACAACAACTATCATTCACGTGGTTTATAATTTACCATACCCTTATTTAAATAAATTTAGAGCTAGAATAAGAACCTAGTATCATTTCCTTGTCTTTAAAAAAAGGATTTGATAGAACAACCTACCAAATCGTTAAACAATGTTTGTCTTTCATGTTTAGAAGTTTCACAAATGACTTAGTAGATAAGATTCTATAAACTTATTTTACTTTCTCTGAACATTGATTTTCTTGTATTCCACTGATAAATCTACGTAAAATGCGATATTAGAAGGTATGATTATTTATTATCTTCAACAGGTACATGTGGCTTTGAAACAGTAACGGACAAAACATTCACGAGGGGGCCAGACAGCAGCGATATCCCGGATGTTCAAAACATTTTTACAAGAATAGAATCAACAAATAATTTAGCAACTTGCTTGGAAGCGTGCCAGATGTCTTCAATTGGTAATCTTGACTGTTGGTTTGTAGTGACCAACATCAGTAACGCCGATGTTTGTTACTTGTACTATACAAGTGACAAATACCTAGCAGATAGACCCCAAAATACAACAGTCACAACGGGCCTCAGCATTCACGTTAAACGATGTGGAAACGGTAAGACTATTCTTTTAATATTTTTTTTAAAACTTGGTATCCATGAGCAACAAGAAAAATCAAGAAAATATCAACATTGCAACATAAATATGATCTAAACTCGAATCACATAAACCTAGGACAAACTATGAACAAAGAAAAGATCAACCAAAACAATTTTGAACATTACTACCTAAAATATTTGTGTAGAAAAAAGACCAGTATCAATTTAAAATCGTAACGATCAAATTATTGAGATGCTATCACGCATTCTACTTACTGTTACCTTTTCTAAAAGCACAAGTTCCTTTACTGGTGGAAAAATAACGACACATTTATTAAACTATGGAAACCTATAAATGCATATCCTAAAAAAAGTTCCTTTCGAAATGAGGGAAAATAACGACACCGACGTGAAACTATAGATATCTTTATGAATTATTCGAATAGTTGAAAGACTAGGGATTACTTAGTCAAGTCTAATTTTGTACTTCCGATTTTGTCCTTTGCAGTTGCTGTATATGGCGAAACGACATCATCAACATCGGCAGCAACAACCACGACAACATGTGTTGCACTGACAACAGTTGAGGCGTCAACTACATCGACCACACAGCCAACAACTACACTAACAACCACACAACAACACACATCTTCTGTCCTTACTACAACTGTAGGTGTTCAAACAACGAACAGCGTAGAGTGTTTGAAATACAGCAATCAGACGATAACATACACATTCGCTGAACTTCAGGAACAGGTGAAGAAACTCAAAGCTGAGCTCATGGTGATAAAAAACAGTACAAATAGATACATGAGAACGCTCATCAGCGTTTATGATGGTCGAGCAAGCGCTGTCAGCGTGGGTGTTATAGGCGCTTTCTTCCTCGGTGTCATTCCTGTACTCTTCTTTATTGCTGACATGCCAGTACTGTACAGACATAGCACGGGACGATGGGGCGATTGTAGCAACCAGAATAATTGTGATGGAATTTGATATCGCTTTCCGTTTCGTTACATGTATTTTGTATTTTATATTATTGATAAAGTTCACAACAGGCACGATATTTAACTTTATTTTTAGACAAAACATCTGTTGTATACAACTTTTTATCGGAAATGAAATCAAGGCACTGATTGTTGTTTCAAATTATTGACATTGAAATTGAAAGTTTTCTAAAGACTTTCAACTGTATTGCAGTGCTGGCTTAAAATGATGATTATAGCCTAAACGTTGGTAAGAACATCAGAATATATATTTTTTTCTAAAACTATTTTTATCATTATCGAAGTTATTCGTTTCAAGTGATAAAGCATCCGAAGTTTTATCACGACCTTGAAGTGAAAATAATGCAATTTTTCATATAATTCCTGATAAGATTTGATGTTCCATATCTATTTTTGTACGGTATATCTATTTTACGAATTCGTAATTTAGTCGAAAGTCGTGAAAAATACAACCTTTAAAAAAATCAACAAAATATTTTTTCTATATGTTTTTGTTATTTTCAACTAGCAAGACATGAAATAAAAAATATCGAAAATTTCGTGTTTAAAGCAATATTGATCAGAAAATCCGAAATAGAATGTTCGTTAGCATTGAAAACAAATAGATGTGAATACAACAAATTTGTATTTGATTTTAAGAATTATTTTTGTATAAAATACATATTTTGATATTACTCTGGATACTGTAATGTTTTTGTTATTGCGTGCAGTTGAAAATAAAGGTTGACTTATATGTATAGAATTAAACATGTGTAATGAATTTCGGATCTATATCGTATGAAAATATTTTTTGAAAGATTTTTATTCAACTCTTTTGATTAAGTTCAAAATCGTCGATGTCATCATCATCATCATCATCATCATCATCATCATCATCATCATCATCATCATCATCGTCATCATCATCATCATCATTAGTTACTTTTATTAAATCTTAATCTTTTATAAATGTATATTCAAAGATTTATTAAGACACGTGCTTCTGTAAATATATTGTTAGTAATAAGAATAATTTATTGTCTGAAATCTTATATCTCTTTCTTCAATATTCCCAAACAGAAGACATTGCTTATTATGTAATGTGCTTAACGAAGATTTTAATTTTTTTTATTCCATTTTACACCTCCTGACATTTCTACATCAGATGAATAATGGTTATCTTTCTAAATCACAAAAAAGTGTACATTGCACAAGTTCAGTGTTGATGTTATTATAGTTGTGAACTTTTAATTACTTGCTATATGGATTTTTATTCACGTAATAGCAGTTTTGTACTGAATAATTGTTTAATCCATTCAATTTTACAAATTGATGTCATGCTTGTCTGATTGAAGATTTTCTTATTGAGTCCTGAACCATTTTAAATTGTTTGTAATTAATTGTAAAAGTCAGCTGTTAGCTGAAGTGGCAATATTGTATCTCACTATATGTAAATGTGCTTTTCCCGTTTTTCTTTGTATTTGGGTAATTTTTATCACAAAAAATATTTTATTAACACAGATCATAATCGATTGTTGTTTGCAGTTCATGTAATTATATTGATGAAATGACTGATTCGAGTAGAATAACACATGAACAGAATCAAAACGATGAAAAATGTGATTTTTTTTTCACACTAACAAAATTATTAGATGGAAAAGTTGTTGAAACAGTTTCCTAAAAATATCAAAGAAAGGATATCGTGACATAAATCAATGAAATCCATAAGAATTTGAGAATATTGTATGAAACTTTATACCAACCAACAGCATAACATTCTTACGATTTCAAAGAGGATAAAGTGTGAAAAATCAGGTTATGCGAATGCAAGGTCATACACCAATACTCGATACATCCTGTACTTTTAAGGATAATTAGTTCTATAAACTGATCACTTTATCCTGAAAATGATACAAAAAAAAAAAAAAAAAAAAATATGAGGGAGTTTTGATAATTTTTTTCAAAAGTTAAGAAACTATAACACTTAAGTATGATAAGAGATGTCAAGTTTATAACAAAGGAAAAATCGATACGTCAATATTTATCGATCTGACGCTACCCTGAACGAAGATCACTTATAAACCCAAGGGTTAGCGTTGTTTTAAATCAAACTTCAAAAAACATTGAAGTAGAATTTAAATAAAAATAATTTTATTTGATGCCAAATCGGGAATAACAAGAGAAAATACCAACATGGTAACATACGCATGTTCAAATTCCATAAATTCCATGACGATCACAAAATATTGATATATATTTCCACGTGAAAGCTTGAGATGCTGTACTGTGCATTATGATTTCTGCGATCAATCGAAAGGTCGGAAGGTCTGAGCACGTGCTGTGAAAAATAAAAATTAGAAAAAAGTTATATAGTTTGTATTGGTATAATTTTTTCATAACTTCAAGTTTTACAACACAAAATTATAAAACGCTGAGTGCTTCCAATATGTATTCATATCATATCATATTGGTTTGAATTTGTGCAAGTATTAGAAAAATACAGATATCATGAACAATAATTTATAGAATAATATTCCATGTTTGTTGTAATGATTATTCCATTGGCAACAAGTTCACTAAAATTTTCCAATATTAAGATGGATAAGAAACCAAAACCATCAAAATCATTGACACATCGGAGTCGAGGAGTAAACACATCGGAGTCGAGGAGTAAACACATTGGAGTCCAGGAGTAAAAACGCATCGGAGTCCAGGAGTAAACGCATCGGAGTCGAGAAGTAAACACATCGGAGTCGAGGAGTAAACACATCGGAGTCCAGGAGTAAACACATCGGAGTCGAGAAGTAAACACATCGGAGTCCAGGAGTAAACACATCGGAGTCGAGGAGTAAACACATCGGAGTCGAGTAGTAAACGCATCGGAGTCGAGGAGTAAACGCATCGAAGTCCAGGAGTAAACACATCGGAGTCGAGGAGTAAACACATCGGAGTCGAGGAGTAAACGCATCGGAGGCGAGGAGTAAACGCATCGGAGTCGAGGACTAAACACATCGGAGTCCAGGAGTAAACACATCGGAGTCCAGGAGTAAACACATCGGAGTCGAGTAGTAAACGTATCGGAGTCGAGGAGTAAACGCATCGGAGTCCAGGAGTAAACACATCGGAGTCGAGGAGTAAACACATCGGAGTCCAGGAGAAAACACATCGGAGTCCAGGAGTAAACACATCGGAGTCCAGGAGTAAACTTTTTTCATCGTGTTTGCCGACGAGGCGATCCCCTCGTCCCATATAAATGTATTTTAGTACCATCATCGTAACACCGCTTTCGTGTCATTGAGTTTACTTACATTACAAGTGGAAAATAACCGAATTTGTTAACAGTGAAAACATATAGGGTCTTTTAAAATTTAGGTTTTTGTACCAATCTCTGTTTAATGTTCAGTATGTGGTATACCAATTGGAATGTCTTTGCGATCTTAATGTAGCCGGGTTTGGTGCCCTGCTTGGGCCTCATTCAGTTCCGCACAACAGTGCATATCTCAGCCTCCCGGAAAATCACACGCACTTATCGTGTCCAATCATCTCGTATACAAAGGGAAGACGGATTGAATTGACCATATCTCTTGACGGGGCCTTGCACGTTATTAGATCTAAACCCATTTGACAAGCATGTCAATTATGTTACAATATTTCATTTAACTGTAAAGAGCACTGAGATGACACTGTGCAAATATCATAAGATGAAGCAATGTGTTGTACCAATCGCCACCATCCTCCTCTCTCATACAGGAAATAAATAAACAACGACTAGGCGGGGGTTCACAAAATAATGAAACTGAAAGATTTAATGTATATGTTTAATGTTTCAGATCAATTTGAATGAACGGTGAGAAGCGAAAGTGTGGTATTATCAACCTTATGTCAGTAAGAGGGTGGGGATGTATGGCTGTGACCGCACCGTTATCGTTGATGAATAAAAAATCCATACAAATAGTACCAAAGGGATTCAAATTAATCATCATTACCTATCAACCAGGACTGATATCGATATCATATTGAGACCGTTTGTGTGGTTCTTTTAAGTCAATGAGGTACTCAATGCAAATAATACGACTGCTTTACTTTATTTATAGTCTATAATTAAACTGCGCGATGATTTCCATTGGGTACTTACCTAAATAAATATTGTGTTTAATTAACTTGTTTCGGATGGTGATATTCAAGGCTACTTACCTTCTAACATTATTTCTGAGCTAAGAAGACGAAAAAAGCAGATGCATTGTAAATTATATTTCAGTAAAGAAACAGGAGTAAAATACAGACGTATCAATATAAACATGATCCCAAATAAAATTCAATAACATTAGGGAAAATATTAACGAAAGGAAGATTTACACGGAGACTTCTAAACAAATACAAGGATAATAAAATAATGTGCTCCGGAATAGTAAGCGACGACACCTGCCGTGTAATTCTTGGTCAATTCAACACTTTTATCAACACTTGATCAAATAGACATTTTTATTTAAAATATCGAAAAATAAAAAAAAAAAATGATCGGAAACGTTGATAGTTATCCTGTTAAATTTCCTTCAAAAATAGTTCATGCGATGAATTTCGTCATCGGTGACCAAAAAGTGGGATCAAGTCTACCATTTTTTTAACCATTAAGTCGTCTTTTTGGTTTTGATGAAACTTACTGTCTGAACATTCCGTTCAGCTTTTATCAGATTTGATATGTCTACATGTTTTCGTCAATATTATCTAATTCTTCAAAACTAATCAATATTAATTTGCAATCTGACGTTGCATACCATGACAGTTCTTGATCTCGTCTATTCCTTCCATTGTGTCTGCTACAGTCGTTGAACTCGTGACGTCACAGCGCAATGGGTTCCATTCACCGCGAGTTACGTCTGTGCTTCTTGGTAGTATGACGTATGAAATTCGTGCACTTCATGATACTATATATGGGTTTTGGTTAGGGGATTTTGAGATGGTTTTAGACTTTTTCAAATTTTTGATAGATTCCTTTCTATCTTTGTTCGG